AGCATGCATGGATTAAAAAAGATAATTTCTGCTCTGACCAAGATGGAGTAAGAGGGACCAGACCTACCCTCCTGCTTGAGACATCCAAAAAGATAAATAAACCAGAATCCGAAAAACAAAACAAATCAGATTCAGACAATGGTAATCAAGATACTGGATATCAGGCAAAAAGGATAGTGATCCCTGAGAAATGGGAAACAAAGCATAGGTGAGCCTGTGACTGCTCCAGCTCAGTTACCTGAGAGAGCTTCCAGGATGCAGTGCAGGGAGAGGGAACCCATGGGAGTCCCCCCAGGCTCCCTGAGTTGAGGGGCTAGAACTGAGTCTGGAGACACCAGGGCGACTAGAATTTGAAAGACACAGCCCCAGAGAGGAGAGAACTGCACAGAGAGAGAAGCCCAGAAGATTTGCAGAGGGAGACGACCTGTGCCCAGGGAAAGAACAACCCAAAATGATTAGAAGGAACAGAGCTTGGTACACACAGGGCTGGGAGCAGTGCTTGTTCTGCCAGGAGGCCTGGAAACCTCTGATTCCTGAGGCCTCGGCTAGAGTGCTCTGAAGGGTCTTACCTGGCGTTGGCGAGTAATTATGTCTAGACTGAACAATGCCTTGGTCCCACCTAATAAATCTTAAAGACCCAGAATAATCAGCTTGTTTCTAAGTAGTCTAACTGCATCCAAGAACAAACCTAAAGAATATTTATAGCAACACAAAAATATTCGACAACACACAGAGTAAAATTCACAATGTCTGGCATCCAGTCAAAGATTACCAGGCACACAAAGAAGCAAGAAAATTTGACCCATCACAAGGCGAATATGAACCATTTGAAGTCAAGCCAGAATAGACCTAGGCGTTAGAATCTGTAATAAACAAGGGCATTAAAGCTGTTTTTAAAACTGTATTTGAGATGTTCTATTAAGTTAAGCAGAAACAGGAAAGGTATATTAAAAAAAAAGGGCCTAAATGAAACTTCTAGAAATAAAAACTATATTGTATGAGATAAAAATCTCCTGTTAGGATTAACAGCAAATTAGGAATTGCAGAAGAAAATTAGTGAGCTGGCAGACATGGATGCAAAATAAAACAGTGAAAAGATAGTAAGTAACAAAAAGCATTAATGAGCTAAGGGGAAAACTTCAGGTGGCCTAATGTATCTGTAGAGCTAATCCCTGAAGGAGAGAGGGGGACCGAAAACCACATTTGAAGAAAATATGGTTTAAAATTTCACTTTTTTTTTTAAGTGAAAGCAAATTTATTTAGAGAGATACACACTCCACAGAGTGCAGTCTGTCTCACTCAGAAGGCCGA